CATGGTCACATAGGCTATTCAATGGGAAAGTTGCTATGCTTTAATATTGCTAAGATCACCATTAAGATTCTTTGTCACAAAACAAATTGTGTAAATTTGGGGCTGGTATTGCTTTTTGGTATGTGCTGACATGGAAGTCAGTGCCTCGACGTATATTTATGGCATTGTAGGTGATGTGAAGCTGGCAAGGAATGGTTTGCTCTTTACTCCTTAGTTCTGTGCTTTCAAAGATCTGGGTGGGGTGTGTCTTAAGGTAACCTTGCCTTTCATTAAACAACAATTTTTTGTGTTAACATACTCAGCCTTAATCATACTTAATTTAGATACGAACTAATTATGTCCTGGAGGTTGCAGAAGTAATGGAATCCATGATTTCCAGGGACTTCAGTGACATTGGGGCCTCACAGCAGCCCAGCCACCGGTGGCAGCACGGGACCTCCCCGCAGGGTGGCAGGGGATCCCTGGCAGCTCCCCAGCTCCCATGGGGGAATCCCCCAGAATGCCCTAGTTGCTGCCGGCGGGGGATCCCCCAGAGAACCCCCATCTCCCACAGGTGGCAGGTGATGCCCCAGAGCTCCCCACCTGCCAGTGGCAGAGGACCTCACAGATCCCAGCCTGGGTCAGGGGTCCCTCCCAGCCAATGGGCAGGGGTGGAGGCCACACCTCCCTGCTGCTGCATGCAGGGGGGCAGGGTGCTGGACCTCCTCCCTCCCTGTTTCATTGGGGCTGTTTTTAGTAAAAGTCAGGGACAGGTCGCGGCTTCCGTGAATTTTTATTCATTGACCGTGACCTGTCCCTGACTTTTACTAAAAATATCCATAACAAAATTGTAGCCTTAATTATGATTGCTAAATATTTTTAATGTGCTCAAACAAAAACTACAGTATGAAGTGTATTTTGGGAAGACAGTTTGATCAGAACCACACACTACATTGCATGTGGTACTGTAGGGGCATGTGAAACAGTTAGAGTACTAATAAGACTTTATAATAAGGACTCAAAAAGCTAAATAGGATTTGAAACAGGTGGTAGACAAAAGGTTTGTATCAGATAAGTAAACAAATGTTTGGGGGAGAGGGCAAGAGTTTGCCACATCCCTCTCTTTTCCACCCCATAGGTCATCTCCCATTTGCTGACCATATCTTTTTAAAATATATATATGTTGTGTTCTTTAGCTATCACTAGTTCTTTCAGCAGCTGAAGAGAAATGAAAGAAAAAAACTTGAGAAAACAGAAATCTGGAGCAAGAACCAAAGAGCTTGAAGAGAATATACCTTCCCTTAGAAGGGAAATGGAGCTAAAGAAACGAGTCCTTGCATCTGTTAAAGCAGAGATGGCAAAGGCCTGTGCTCACTGGAACACACAAAAGCAAGAAGAAATCCTCTACAGGAACTACCGTGCAATCTTAGATGGTTACAGAAATAAAATTAAGGAGGTGCTTGCAACAGCCAAGGAAGATCTTATGAAGCAGAAAAATGAATTGCTTATTCAGAAAGAGGCACAACTAAATGAGAATTGGCAGCTAGGGAAACTAAGAGACTCTGGGAGGAAATTCACCAATCCGAGGAAGAGATTCTGATTGAACTTGAGTTCCTGTTAGGAGAAGAAATCCATGACGAATTAGTCAAGAGCACAAATAATAAGCACACTTGGCAGTACAAATGATCGAGTAGTGCCTTCAATTAAACTACCAATACAAGGAAAAGCTAAAGGCTTCCTTACAGAAGGCTTAATAAATAAGTGGAAAAAAGAGGATTACAGGTATAGCTTTGGTGACATTTTAAATATTTAAGCCAGACAAATTCGAATTAGAAATAAGCACATTTTTAACAGAGAGTGTGATTAGGCATTGGAACAAACTCCCAAGGGAAGTGGTGGATTCTCCACCTCTTGATGCCTTGATATCAAGACTGGAGACCTTTCTGGAAGAGATACTTTAGTTAAACTCAAGTTATTGGGCTCAACACAGGGGTAATTAGGTGAAATTCTATGAACTGTGTTACCCAGGTGGTTAGACTAGCTGATCAAATGGTCCCTTCTAGCATTCAAATCTAAGAATAAAAGGATGAACGCACATCTTCAACCTTCTAGCATTCAAATCTAAGAATAAAAGGATGAATGCACATCTTCAACCTGAGACTGGTGACTCCTGTACTTCTCTCCAGGAAAAGGAATAGCTTTTCACAACTTTCTACAGCCACATTCAGGAGTGGATCTAGTGCCCCTATTAACCAAACATGGAAGAGAACCCACTTTCCTCTCCACTTCTGGCAAAAAAAAAAAAAAATGAAAAATCTTTTTTAGGACACAGGCAAAAGCAGGATTCCAGCACTGCAGATGAATGGACTAGACTACAGGTAAGATGGCTCTTTGCACTTTTATCACCACAGTTGTACTTGCTACTCATGGCAAACTCTCTATTCCCTTCAGGTACCAGAGGTGCTTCAACTTAAGGCGGTCAGATGGCCTTGTGTTCAGAAAACAGGGATGTATCTCCTTTTACTCCTGTATCTTGAAACCTTTTAGGTTGCTGCTAGACCAAGTTTAAGCCTGTCTTTTCCCCTCACTCCAGATGTTGTCTCTTAGTACCTCCCTGCCCTGATGTCATAGGTGGATGAGAGGTTCTTTGGGTTCAGATGAGATAGAGGCCATTCCAGTTTTAAGAAATAGGTCCAGAATTAGCCCTTAACTATTTAGCCCTTAGCCCCTGACCCTTATTTTAGTTAACAACGAGGTCAGTGCTGCTAACTCCACTTGAAAGGATTAAATACTTATCATCTTTCATTTGACAATGCAAAGCTCTTCTTTTGGTTGGAAGCTGGAAAATCTATTGGAGACCATGATACTTTTTCATTGGGTTGAGGAGCCTCTTTTTTTTCCCCCGTCTCCAACTTAAATAATGGATTTAAATCTTTTTTGGAGAAAGCCAAGTTTCAGCCAGAACAGGTCTGAAACAGTGGTTACACTAACCTTCTGCATGGCCCCACACAAGGTTATCAGAGCAATGCCAATAGCCCTTAAATAATGTGGACCCTAGATATGTCCCATATTTGTAAGAGTGATTTCTATTGGTTTAAGAATTAGTGTAGCCTTATAGCAAAGTTAATTTTGAAAAGAAAAAAAAAAAATCTGAACCCAATTTTCTGGAGAGTCAATGTTCCAGATTTTAAATATTGCCTGTACATTGATTTCATCTGACAACTAAAAATTAATTTACTTTTGGAATAGCTTCTTAACTCCCATTGTTAAAATAAAGTGAGGTACCCAAAGTTACATTTGGAAAATGTTTTTAACCTTATGAAAGTATTTTCCAAAAGTAACGAAGACCAGCTTATATAAGCTTTTATCTGACCTCTACTGTTTAAATAAAAAAACATGTTTTCAGGGAAATGTCTTGGAAGAAAAAAACAGATTTTCTCCTCTGTTTGATTCTTGTAAAACATTAGGTCACTGAGTTCACTTTTTGTATGTGTTTAAAATGGGTGAAAGTTTTTTCTTCTCAAACTATTATACACTGTTTAAAAAGCGTTTGACTTTCATAAAGTTAAAGCAATCTTTGTTTTAGAAACACAAGTACGGATGAAAATGTCAAAAAGACCATCAAAATTCATACCAGAGGAAATAGCATTAATCATTGTGAAAAGCCAAATAACCTCTCTCAATAACAATAAAAACAAATGACTAAGAAATCTGTTGTTCCAATAACAGAGATGACTTGCTGTAAGAGAAATACACACAAACTTGCTTTTCACTTTAGCAGCTGCACCATCACATTTGAAATGCTGTTTATCATTCTGACGCTGACTCTGTGCCTCTTATGAACAGTCTTATTTTAATTCATGCATACTAACTAAATCTTTCTACTCATAGGGCCAAATGGTCAGTCCTGGCCTTCACTTTTGTGTATGTACACAGAGTGATTTCCACGTGCAAAAAAAATAAATCTGTTTCATGCCTACCTGAAGAAGTGAAATTGGGTGGACACGTAAAACTGGAGACTAGCTAGAAGCTGTCTGAAAAGGTGGCTCTCAAGTTTGTATTTTAACGCTCTATTTATTGTGATTAATTCAATACTTTGGTACACTTAAAACAAAAGTAAAACAACAATTAATTGGTTTGATGGCCCCAAACAAAATTCTATACAAGTTTAAAAACAGAAATTCTTAATGCCTTTTTCACAGTGCTGTTTACTTGCCCTTGGATACTAAGGCTCCCCTTTGGGAGGGGAGAGGAGGACTGATGCAGATGGAAAATTAGCCAGGTTTACTGAGGAAAAAAAAAAGATACAACTAAAACAAACTCACAGATTTCTGAAAAAGTTTAACTATTATGATTTTTCTTGTCTCTTTTACAAGATTTGTGACTCCCTCACCAACATAGGACAAAGACAGAAATATCTAGCCAGCTTAGGCCTGGTCTACACTTAAAAATTTTACCAGCATCTGCTCAGCATCACGCCACCTAAGTAGCTTTGTGAATCTAGGCCTATATTTTTATTTGTATTACTAAATCATTTTTCCAGCTTTATTTAAAACTAACAAAGTTTATAATTTGTTTTCCATTCAGTCAACTAACTTGGGTCTTTTATTTTTTTTCCCCCTGATGAAATATTGTCCTAATCATTTCAGTAAGCAATTGTGATATCAACAGCATGAAGTCAGCCTGATTGGTTAGAGCACATTCCTACACAGTATAATCAGCTGAACTACATTTTACTATGTTTTAGAAAGAGATTCCACGTTGACATATTAACTCATCTTTACAATCCTGAGATCTTACTATTTCCAATATGAGGTCTTAATTCTCCATTCCTTGCCTCAGGCACATTGTGATTTACCCAAGGTGAGGACTGCAGGGTCAGACTCACAAAAGTAGGCCCTAACTGGCAACGCTTAGGGATATGCATGTCATTGAAACAAGTAGTGATTAAAATTACGCATCAAGTGTGTGCAGAACCAGATCCTGCTCTTGCATTTGGCGCAGCATTACAGACAACTCCAGACTGTAATACTTTGTTTTATTATTGAACTCTCAAATGTCATTTAGACAAAAAATTGTATTGCTACACTTTAATTATGATGAAGAAAAACAAACATGGTGCTATTTACAGACAAATAGATGTCTTGGCTTATTCTTTTCCTGCAGAATTCTTGGCATTTTTTATCAGTGTGTACATAAATGAAAAGAAAAAAAGCAGGTTGTCATATTGTCCTTTGTAGCCCTCTTTTAAAACCTCCTGGTGATAATCCACAAGAAAATAATAAATGGCTTCAATTGTAGAAAGATACGTATCTGGCTTTCCTTTCTGGTGACGCCAAAAGCAAGTTTTTCTTGTTTTCAACTCAATTTGTAGTAACCCTGCCAAGAAAAAGGGGACAAATGTTAGGCATTGTGGCTTAACAAACAGAGCTCTAGACTGGGACTTGAGAGACTTGGGTTCTGTTACCGGCTCGGCCATTCGCCTGCTGGGTGACCTTGGGTAAGTATCTGTGCCTCAGTTTCCCCATTTATAAAGTGAGGGTAATGGTGAAAAGTGCTAGATAAGAGCTAGGTATTTATTATATATTTAGGCTTGGCAGAATTCAATTTTTTTTTTATAATTTTTATGGATAATATTGGTTTGTTTTTAAGCATTCTTTCAATTTTTATCAATTTAAATTTTTACAGTTCTAAAAAAGTATTTAAAACCCAGAATTTTAAGCATTTTTATTTATTTAAATTTTCACAATTACAGGAAATCATGTGCAGAGTCAGACAATTATTTACTGACAGCAGACATTAAGATTCAAAAAGTTAAAACTTTATAACAGTTAAACACAAATTGTCAACATCACACATGAAAATATACAAAGTAAATAGCCTTAAATCAAACTCTAGGTTCTCAAGCACCATTTTTCTTACTCCGCTTATTTGTAAGTTTCAATTATTTTTAAGGATATGATTCAGTCATGGAGGTCCTGGATTCCGTGACTTTCTGGAACCTCCGTGACTTCTTCTGGGGCAGGGCTGGCGCAGCTGTCAACCCTAGGGCTGTCGGAGCAGTGGCCGCTGGAACAGCTGACTGATGGCCAGACCCGAGCCCGCTCGAGCAATGGCTGGGGTTGGGTCAGCCCATGCCACAGGAGCAGCGGCAGGACCAGAGCAGCTGCAAGCCCCAGCAGCGCTCTGTTTGTCCCCGCACCCTAGAGTATTTTTAGTAAAAGTCAGGGACAGATGAATTTTTGTTTCTTGCCCAGGACCTGGTCCCTGACTTTATTGAAAATATCCATGAGAGAATCTTAACCTTAATTATCATCATCGATGGAAATTTTTCCCTAGGTTTGTGTGGGTACTGTGAAATCAACATTTATCAATAAAAATCGAATCCTGCCAATCTTATATATAACATCACAAAGGTACACACAGTTGTCAGCTACTGAGGGGTTTGTTGTTGTTTTTGCTTTTTAATGTTGGCAATAATTCCCCCCATCCTCACCCAATTCAGAAAAGGTCAGTTTCATAAACATTTCTACTTGAGGCCCAGATCCTGCAATTTGATCTTCGTGATAGATCTTTTATCTACACAATACCATTGACTCCATGAGTCTCCATATAGGCTTAAGGCCTGCCCACATAGATCAGGTTGCAGCAACCGGACCTGAAGCACCAATCCTGCAAAGACTCAAGCCATGCCTAACTTTATGACGGGGCTAAGGGCCTTAGAGTGGAAGGTATAGTTCCTCAGGGATTTGATTTTGAGATGTCTGGAATGGCTCTAACAGATCACTTAGGAAAGAAAATTATTGAAGGCAGGATATGCAACGATTTGGTGACAATAAATGTAAGTTTACTATCTGCTATTTTCCTTTGTTTTTTTATTTTATTGAAATTAATGTGTCTAGAGAAGTAGTAGTAGGCCTTAATATATATTCACATCATCTGTTTTTAAGCAGAGCTCATTCAGTGGAGCTGATATCAGTGGAGTTTTCCTTAAAACCTAATGGCATGATATGGCCCATATCATAGAATCATAGAATATCAGGGTTGGAAGGGACCTCAAGAGGTCATCTAGTCCAACCCCCTGCTCAAAGCAGGACCAATTCCCAAGTAAATCATCCCAGCCAGGGCTTTGTCAAGCCGGGCCTTAAAAACCTCCAAGGAAGGAGACTCCACCACCTCCCTAGGTAACGCATTCCAGTGCTTCACCACCCTCCTAGTGAAATAGTGTTTCCTAATATCCAACCTGGACCTCCCCCACTGCAACTTGAGACCATTGCTCCTTGTTCTGTCATCTGCCACCACTGAGAACAGCCGAGCTCCATCCTCTTTGGAACCCCCCTTCAGATAGTTGAAGGCTGCTATCAAATCCCCCCTCATTCTTCTCTTCTGGAGACTAAACAATCCCAGTTCCCTCAGCCTCTCCTCATAAGTCATGTGCTCCAGACCCCTAATCATTTTTGTTGCCCTCCGCTGGACTCTTTCCAATTTTTCCACATCCTTCTTGTAGTGTGGGGCCCAAAACTGGACACAGTATTCCAGATGAGGCCTCACCAATGTCGAATAAAGGGGAACGATCACGTTCCTCGATCTGCTGGCAATGCCCCTACTTATACAGCCCAAAATGCCGTTAGCCTTCTTGGCAACAAGAGCACACTGGTGACTCATATCCAGCTTCTCATCCACTGTGACCCCTAGGTCCTTTTCTGCAGAACTGCTACCTAGCCATTCGGTCCCTAGTCTGTAGCAGTGCATGGGATTCTTCCGTCCTAAGTGCAGGACTCTGCACTTATCCTTGTTGAACCTCATCAGGTTTTTTTTGGCCCAATCCTCTAATTTGTCTAGGTCCCTCTGTATCCGATCCCTACCCTCTAGTGTATCTACCACGCCTCCTAGTTTAGTGTCATTTGCAAACTTGCTGAGACTGCAGTCCACACCATCCTCCAGATCATTAATAAAGATATTAAACAAAACCGGCCCCAGGACTGACCCTTGGGGCACTCCGCTTGAAACCGGCTGCCAACTACACATGGAGCCATTGATCACTGCCCGTTGAGCCCGACGATCTAGCCAGCTTTCTATCCACCTTACAGTCCATTCATCCAGCCCATACTTCTTTAACTTGGCGGCAAGAATACTGTGGATATCTTAATATACATGAATATCTTATAATGTTAGTTATATTTACAAAATTGGATAAAAGTAAATAAATGATGCTGATTTCGATCATGCAAGGATTCAAAAGCCACTGAAGGCCCTGATGCTGCAAGCTCTTCACTACTGAACCCTAAGTAATCCTGTTGAAGTGCAATCCCATATTAGCCTAAAAAAACCCATTGAAGTCACGTCAACTACTCTGAAATTTCTTTAAAAATGCATAATAAGTCAATGGGATCAATCAGGTAAGCAAGTACTACAGTGTGTAATAAATGTTTGCAAGATCAGGCTCTGAACTATAAGTATCTTCTTAAATGTTGTTAACATTAAGATGCAAAATCTGTATCTTGAGATAGTTTAACATCAGTAATTACAACATGGTCTGAGAATTGCTTGGAAATTACAGACAGAGAAGTTTGGTCCATCTCCATATGGCCCTATTTCAGGAGCCCAAACTGGCCTGTAGCCCAGCACTTACAATTTTGTACTTTTTATATAGCTTCAAACTACATTTAACTGTTTCTGGAGCAATCACAAGGTGAGTCTTGCTATTTATTTCACAACTAAGAACATGATTCCTTGAATATTAATAGAATTTCCTTTTCAAAGTACACTATGTCATAACAGGCATTAAACAGTGTGTAAACTGGTAATGAAAAAGGTGTCTAAACTGAGGATAATAAAAATGATACAGGCTAATCATTCCCTTTAATTTTTACACTAAAGGCAGTTTTCATAACACTGGTTTATCTCCTACATAAAGTTTCAATGACCTCTTTTAACAGAGGAGTACCCAATAAACCAAAAGAATGAAGGTGAAATTCTGGCTCAATTGAAGTCAATAGCAAAAATCCCAATGACTTCAGTAGAGTCAGGGTTTCACCTTACAAGTGGTGAACTAAAATTTAGGGAAGATTCCTCCAATACAAAGTTCCCACCGCTTAACATTTGGGGGCAGGGAAAGGGAAGTAAGATGTTAAATAACAGTCAGATCACTGACCCCAGTGAGAATACAGGCACAGGATCAATTAACTTCAACACAGAGTATTTAAGAGTTTCAGAACAAAAGATTTAGAAGAGGTTAAGTGTTACTGTTTACTGAGCATATTCCCATCATCTCTGTACTGTATCTATACAGCCAAAGGCAATATTTTATTACAAACACTAGTTGTTCTTATGAGTAACTTAGACTATCCAGGAAGTCAACATTTTGACTTTTTTCATGTTTAGTATCCACATATTTTGAGCTCAAATAATAAAATAAATGTTTGTGCCAATCTAGGATTTAGGCAGGATGGAAGTGTAGACATTTAGAAAACACAAGTATGGAGAATAAACAAATTTTGTCCATACAAAAGCTATTTTCTCTCACACGCACTTTATTTGGCTGACGGTCACCTTTCAGAGTTTCGTTCTTATGCTCCCATTCTTTTTCTATGTGCTTTTATCATCGCCACAAGCAACCATACTTCTTCACAATTACATCAAGACCTGTGATGATAGATACGAAAACTTGCACAAGCTCCCATTCTAATCTACTTTAATGACTGTATTGGGAATGAAGGCACATTTAGGCTTGAAAGAAGCCTGCTGTGAATGAGTCTGTTCCAGGGGTCGGCAACCTTCGGTTCGCCGTTCCCGGCCATTGGGAGCTGCGGGGGGACGTGCCTGCAGACGGTCAACGTAAACAAAAATGTCTTGCGGCCCGCCAGCGGATTACCCTGATGGGCCGTGTGCCGAAGGTTGCCGACCCCGGTCTGTTCTAACCACATTTAACAGAATAAGCAAAAGTAGAACTGCACATGTGTAAGAAATTGCAAAGTAATTATGTTTGTGACAAAAAAAACAACCTAAAAAACTAGAAAAATACAGTTTTAAAGTAACACTACGATTGTAGTGTTGGGGAGGAGAGTTAACATGAAAATGAGAGACTAATATATATGTGTAAGAAGAGAGAAGTTATAAATAAGTTTGTACAACAAAGGGAAGTGCTGGAGGTGACTGTGATGAAATCATGCTGATGAACTTCCCACTTATGAGTAACTGATCACCACTTGCTGCGTGTTTTGCCTTGATAAAGATTAGTGAGACCCGTCCACTGAGTATGTGACTTGAACATGCTTGACTCTAAGCACGTGCTGAAGGGTTCTGCTGAATCCCCATGTCGGATATAGAGTCATAGAGTCATAGACTTTAAGGTCAGAAGGGACCATCATGATAGTCTA